CTTGAGAGTCTAGCTAGAGTATTGGCAGTATCTTTGGAGATTTCTTCTATAATCTTAGTGAGTTCCCTCAGAGTGTGGCCTCATAATAAGCAAAGCCTCCCCTGGGGGCTGCAGCGGCTATAGTGGCAGTAGCTCCAGTCACTACTAGACCAAAAGCTTTTTTTCTGCTGAGAGATGGACTTCCAGGACCGACAGTTATATTTATAATGGTAAGGTCTTGGGGTGCCAAGGTCCCTAAGATACAGTCACCCCCATGTTTAGAGTTGCTGAGATGTGTATAAGCAATAGCTTTTTGAATGATCTGTTAGCCAGTTATTGGGAGTCCCACATAGCCAGATGAGCCCCGGGCATGCTGCAATAACTGTGGCATTAGTGGAGTTATATTTGTTAAGGAGGGCATATGGCAAGGGGGAAAGGCAGTCCTTAAAAGGGCCTAAGTTATTTCCCTGATCTTCCCGTCCTGCAGGAGGCGGTAGAAATTTTGCTAATACTCATTGAAGAGATTGGTTCAATTTCCAAGTAACACATTTAGAAGTAACGTTTGTATTTGCATTGTGAGTTTTGTCAAAGCAGCAATGGGTACTATTAGGAATACAGTTAGAATCATAATTCGGGTAGCATACTATATGTGACCAATGTAAAGGTTTGAAAATTTCTCCCTCAGAAAGATTCTCTAGAAAGCTGGAACTTGAAAGAGAAGCCAGGGCTTCAAATGAGTTAATGGCCCTTGTATGAGTATTATTATAACATGGGGTGCATCCTATCGTACTGTCACATTTAAGAGAGGTGCTGGGGTAATTAAATGGCTTTAATTCTTTCCTGTGATAATTGCCTGCACCCAGGAGTCAAAATATACCCTAAATAATTTACTTTGTGTTTGGTAATCTGAGCCCCTTTTTTTGATACCCGATATCCTCTTTTAGCTAGGAAATTCAGAGTCTGGATGGTATTTTGATCAGAAGCCTCCTTGGAGGGGCTGCAGATTATTATGTCATCCACATATTGTAAAATGACCCCTCCTTGTAACTGTAAATCTCTAAGATCATTTTTTAATGCCCTAGCAAAGAGATGGGGACTGTCCCTAAACCCTTGCAACAATATAGTCCAAGTATATTGCTGATGTATCATCGTCTTTGGATCAGTCCACTCAAAAGCAAACAAATACTGTTAGGATGCAAAGGGATGCAGAAGAAGGCGTCTTTTAAATCTAATGCTGAATACCACTGAGCATTAATCTAATACCACTAATCTGGTATCTGCGAGAGCAAGGTGTAAGGGTTAGCTACTATTGGATGTAAAGGGACTACTGCCTCATTGACTAACAGATCCTGGACTAGCCTGTATTCTCCTGTAGGCTTCATCACTGTTAAGATGGGAGTGTTGCAGGGAGACTGACAAGGGACTATGAGCCCATGTTGTATAAATTTAGTTATGATGGGCTGTAACCCCTCCAAAGCTTCTTGTTTAATAGGATACTGCTTCCTGTGAGGGTAATCTGACCTGGGTTTTAATTGGATTTTAACCGGTAATGCAGTCTTTGCTCTTCCAGGAGTCCCTGACTCCTAAACTAGTGGGTTTACTGCATCCAGAACTGAACTTGGGATTTCCTCCTGATTTTGAACACTACTGATTATCATGACCTTACTTACTCAAGTGGCACTTCAGGGAACAACAAGATGGTTCCCATTTGAGCTAAAAGGTCCCGGCTTTACAGAGGAATAGGGCACTGAGGAACAATTAAAAAGGAGTGTTTGAATATTTGACTTTTAAATTGGCAAGTGATAGGGAATGTATAGAAATATGCCTTAAGATTTCCTTTGACCCCCATTACCTTAGCTGATTTGGAGGAAAGAGGTCCAGAGTAAGAGTTAAGGACAGAGTAAGTGGTCCCTGTATCAACAAGAAAGTTGATTTTCTTACCTGCCACATCTAGAGTTACCCGGGGCTCCTCGGTAGAGATGGGAATATGAGTATTCCCTGGGGCTGACCTGTTCCCTGGGCACCTTCAGTCCTCAAGAGTAGCCATGGCCTTGGGAGATGACCCCTTTCCACTATGGGAACGGGGGCAGTCTACCTCCCAGTGCCAGGGATCAGAACTGAAGTTCTTGCATAGAGGACAGGCCTCGGAGGTGGCTGAGTACAATTCTTTGACCAGTGTCCAGAGCGCTTGCACTTATAACAGGTCTGATCCTTTTGCCCCTGATTCTTTTGAGGCCTCCCTGAGCTCCCCTGATGGGGCTGGTTTCCGCCAATGGCACTGCTAAAGGCTAGTGTAAGGAGCTTTGCTTGCTTCTCCCTTTCCTTCTTTCCCTGTTTTCTTTCCTCCAAATCCCTATTGTTAAAGACTGAAAAGGCTGTATCCATAAGCTGATCTAGGGGCATCTGTGGGCCCATTTGTAATTTCTGAAGCTTCCTGCAAATATCAGGGGAAGATTGACTTATAAAATGCTGTCCTATCAAGATTCGACCCTCCGGGGATGAAGGGTCCAAGTTCATATATTTTTGGAAGGCTTCTACTAGTCTGTTTCTGAAGAGAGCCAGGTTCTCCTCCTTGCCCTGAGAGATTTCCCTAACCTTTTTATAATTTACAGGTTTCTTGATGCAGTTTCTCATTCCTGCCAGTAAGCAATCTACCATTGCATCCCTACTCCAGATCCCTGCCTGAGTATTGTATCCCCAGTCAGGTTCCTGGTCTGGGACAGCTTGGGCAGCAGGCTGGCTAGTGCCGGGGTTCTGGGTATGCAGCTGATCTGCATACTTACGGACCTCCTCCCAGATCCGCTGTTTCTCATCCGGGGAACAGCAGGTGGTCAGAATTATGTACAAATCCCTCCATGACATACTGAATGCTAGAGTAAGAGTCTGGAAATTACAAGTGAAATGTGAAGGGTCCTCTGAAAAATTCCCTAGCCTGTCTTTATATTGTTGTAATCAGTTATAGAGAAGGGCACTTGTACCCTTATAGCATCTTCAGGGCCTGCTACCTCCCTTAAGGGTAGGAGTGCAGGAGTGGTAGGGAGCTAAGAAGCGTCACTTCTAGTATGTCCTGCAGGGCTGGGTTTTTCCTCAGCTGGTGGCTTTAGGTTGTTCATAGCAAAAGGTGGTGGAGAGGTTGCTCCCTCTAAGTTAGGGGCAGAGACTCCAGAACTCTGGGGTTCCCTTAATCTCCCTTGAGAGACAGGTGGGGAGCTAAGGAGGGTATCTTCTAATTGATCAACACTTGGGCCTGTAGGTTTTGTCAGGGTGGGGCTGGAGCAAAATGAGGGATCTCAGTACAGAGCCATAAATGCCTGCACGTAAGGAACTTCAGACCATTTGCCTTCCCTCCAGAAGAATAGATCTAACTGTAGGATAGTATTATAATTTCTGCTCCCATTCTCAGGCCATATCTCTCCATCCCCTAATTTATATTGGGGCCAAACAGTGTTACAAAAGAAAACTAATCTCTTCTTTTTAAAATTTTTTGGGTCAAATTTATCCCAGTTGCTAAGAATGCAACCCAATGGTGATTTGGAAGGGATGGAAGATGTAGTTCCTATCTCAACTGTGGTGATCCTAAGAGAGAAGGAAAAGAAACACAGAGATACTCCTTTGCAGACTAGAGGTGTCCCTCTTTGCTGGCCTTAGGAGATTCCTAGTGGGCCATGGGCATCCCCTGGGATCCCACAGAACTACCAGACATCTCTGGGGCAAGAGATTCTAGTGAGAAAGACACTCCCTTGCAATCGAGAGGTGTCCCCCTTTTCTTGCCTCGGGAGCTTCCTCGTGGGCCACAGGGTGTCCCCTGGGATCCCACCAAACTACCAGATGTCTCTGGTGAAAGAAATCCTAGTGAGTGTCGGCCGACAGAAATCTAAAAGACTTGAGGGAATCACCACAGTCTACTTCTGTTTCTAATTATTGGGAAGGAACTAGTCCAGCATTCTTGAGCAATTGCCTATAATGCTGACAATCCCAGACTCTACCCTTGTGGCCCGAGTACATTTCCATTTCTGTATCCTTTATCTACGGGGACCCTCATTTTCCTGTAAGCTTTCAGATCTGGGGCAAAGGAAGTGTCTTACTAGAAAAATGGTTTCTGGCCCTGTAAACCATTAAGAGGAGCACCAAGATGATCTTATTATAAAATGACTTTTCCAGATCACAAAGAAGACCTTTAAATATTTTATCTAATTTTCCAGAGCTTTAAGAAATTGCACCTGCATCTGAAATCTCCCAGAAGGGGCCTCAAGAGATGTCTAAACCACCACCCCTACTGGAGGTGGGTCTCATAGAGGGGCAACAAACTGAGAGGGGAAATTAAAATACCCCTATACGAACAAGTAAACCACCTTAGAATTCCAAATTCAATTAATTAGGTAAGAGTGGCTCCACATGGCCATTCTAGTAACCAGTGACCAGCAGGCACCTGTTGTGCGGTTCTGAGCAATGTTGCTGCTTACAGTGATAGTATACACGTGCCAAAGATGGGAGTGGCTCATTCCCGCAACTGTACTTAGCGTTAGCCTATCAATGACCCCAAGGTAGATATCTTAGTACAGAGACAGCAGGAACCCTTCATACATAAAAGGCAAGTGGGGTATGAGTGAAGGTACAAAGACCAGAAGTCAGTTGGGGAGGACAAGCATAAAAGACTGTCCGTGGGCCTGATGAGGAGACTGCAAAAGGAAGTCATAGCGCAGGTGAGGTGGTGACTGATATCCCGCATGGAAGGTCCGACTATGCCTATTGGGGGAGCGGCCGTGGGGTGGGGCAGTGTTTTGTGCTTTTCACTGTTGTGCGGACATTTTCTTGTACCTGGCAGGGACTAAGGCTAACCCCTTTCTGCATCCAAGTTATCCTATCACAGGAGCCTTAAAGCGGCGGGCGCCCTTGTGGCTTTTAACTGCCTGACCTGTGCCCACAAATTGGCGGCCGACCTTCCATCATGGAACACCGAAACAGAATAGGTGATAATGGAAAGGGGCATCCTGGGTGTCAGAGCAGCAAAGGGGGCTTACCACTCCGGCGTCTTCTCCTGGCTGGCTCGTCAAAAAATGTCACAGGTGTGCACAGGTAACCAGGTTCTTAGTGATCGAGGACGAAGAATTGAACCGAACACGCACAGTTTATAGCATAAAGAAAGAGGGAAGATTTATTAAGCGATAGTACACTCCACAGGACATGGGAGTGGGCCAACTCTGAGCAGAGAAGGAACACGTGGGCTGAGGGGATTCTATTCTTATAGGGCAGAAGCTCCCTGGCTAGTCTTTGGCGGGCTTTTACTGCGCAGGTACAAGGAGTTGGATTTCAAAGCTACTGCGCATGTGTGGTTTCCCGTGATTTTCTTGATTGGCTACTGGAGAAGGGAGTCCCACAATGTTATTTCATTATCATGATATTATAATGAATCAGGGATAGTGCGCAGGCGCATTCCATGATTCAGAGTTATCCCAGAAAACAGGAACAACCAGTCTTAGGGGTTTTTGTCATGCATACATGTTTTCTACCTCAGCCCTGCAGGGCCTCTGGAGTTTCCTTCCTGACTATCTCCTGCCTTACTACATCCTGTTTCAGAGATGGGAAAAGTGAGACAGCTTTCGGGGACTATTTTTTAAAGTATATATTATTGATTATGCTGTTACATTTGTCCCAATTTTCCCCCTTTTCCCCGTTCTGCCCAGTACCACCCCCCTTCCCTTGTTTAATCTCTCGCCCCTGTCCCCGCCGTCCCCGCCGCCCCCGCGCTTAATCCTTGTCCGTGGGTCATGCCTATACGTTCTTTGGCTTCTTCCTTTCGTATTCTATCCTTAACATCCTCTTGTCTATTTTGTTTCTACCAATTGCGCTTCTTAATCCCTGCATCATTTCTCCCATTCTCCACCCTTCCTGTGCCAGCTGATAACCCTCCAAATTATCTCCATACCTGTGATTCTGTTCCTGTTCTGGTGGTTTGCTTAGTTGGTTTTTGTTTTTGTTTGCTATTCAGTTGATAGTTGTGAGTTTGTTGTCACAAATCCAGTTCACGAGAGCTCTGTCTTCATGATCTGCTGAACTCTCAAAGACCCTACCTCCTAACACCATCACATTCAGGAGTAGAATTTCAACACATTAATTTGTCAGGAACAAACATTCAATCTATAATAACCCCCACCTATTTTCTCAAGAATTTGTGTGGAATTTGTATTATTTTCTCCTGAAATGTTTGGTAGAATTTACCAGCAAAGTCACCTGTGCCATTAATTATCTTCGTGGGAAGGTTTTTAACTAAAACTTCAAATTTTTTATAGAGATAGGGTTAATCATTTAGCCATTTTTTCCCAAGTGAATTCTAATAGCTGGCATGTTTCAAATAATATGTCGATTTCACTAAATCATTAAATTAAAGTTATACTACTCTCTCTTTTGCTTTTTAATATTTGTATGATATATAGTGACAATTCCTTATTTGTTACCAATTCTGGTATTCTTATTCTTCAATCTTTTTTCTTGATCAGTCATGCTAGAATTATATCAACTTTATCTGTTCAAATAATTAACAGTTGGTTTCATTGATTTTCTCTACCATTTTTGTCATTTTATTTTACTGATTTCTGATCTGTGGTGTTTCCTTCCTTTTTATTATTTGGATTTAATTTGTTCACCTTTTTCAACTTTTTAACATAGACATTTAGATTATTGATTAGAGATATTTCTTTTCTTCTCATATGAGCATTTAGTGTTATGTATTTTCCTTCAAGCACTGCTCTAGCTATTTCCTATGCATTTTAACATGCTCTGTTTTCATGTTTTATACAATTTGGAACATTTTCTGATTTTCTTTAAAATATTTGACTAGGGGTTACTTGGAAATATGTCATTTAATTTTCAAAGTTTTGGTAATTTTCTATATATTTTTCTGTTGTTGATTTCTAATTTAATTGTTTTACAGTTAAGAAACATACTTTGGATTATTTATTTTAAATCTGTCAAGATTTGTTTTAGATCAGACAATATAGTTGTCTGGTGAAATTTCATGTAGACTTTAAAAATAATGTGCATTCTATTGCTATTAAGTAGAGTATCCTATAAATCTCAAAGAAGTTAAATTTGCTTGTAATGTTGAAATCTATATTTTAATGATTTTTGCCTACTTGTTCTCTCAATGATTGAGGAAGAATTGCTGATGTCTTCAAGAACAATTGTTAATTTCTTTATTTCTGCTTTCTGTTCTATTAGTGTTTGCTTTATTTAGTTTAAGCTCTTTTTATAGCCCTCTATCACTATGCAATCTATCTTTTTATTCTTTTTTAAATTTTATTATCTTTTTATTCTTAATAAAATTCTTTGTTTTGAAGTTTACTTTTCCTCACATTAACATGTTTAATTATAGCTTTCTTTTGATTACTGTTGGCATGGTATGTCTTTTCCCCATATCCTTTTGCTTAAAATCAGCTTGTGCCATTGTATTAGAAATGGGCTCCTATAGAGAGCATAGAATTGGTCCTGCTTTTATTCCCCAATCTGTTAACCTTAAATTTCAATTAGTATATTTTGGCCATTTGCATTTATTGCAATTATTGATTTATTTAAGACTACTATCTTAATTTTCTTTTGTTCTCATCTGTTCTGTTTCATTTCCTCTCACTGTACTTTATTTTGGATTATTATTTATTTTTAAGATGATGCTATAAGTTTATTAGTAAGCATTGTTCTATTGCCAACCTTCCTTCAAACAATATTTTCTCACTTCACATGAAATGTAACAGTGTTTCAACAATATGCTTTTGTTTAATCTTTCTCATCCTTTATGGTATTATTATCACATATTTAAATTTTACCTGTCATAAATCCCACAATTTTTTTCTAATTTTGATTTACAGTTATTTTTAATGACATAAAAGCTTTTTTAAAAATATATTTTATTGATTATGCTATTACAGTTGTCCCATTTCCCCCCTTCTCTCCCCTCCACCCTGTACTCCCTCTCCCACCCACATTCTTCCTCCTTTAGTTCATGTCCATGTGTCATACTTATGATTTCTTTAGCTTCTACATTTCCCATACTATTCTTGCCCTCCCCCTATCTATTTTCAACCTACATTCTATGTTTATTCTCTATACCTTTTACCCCTCTCTCCTCCTCCCACTCCCCTGTTGCTAACCCTCTAAGTGACCTCCATTTCTGTGGTTCTGTTCCTGTTCTAGTTGTTTGCTTAGTTTCTTTTGGGTTTGCTTTAGGTGTGGTTGTTAATACTTATGAGTTTGCTGTCCTTTTACTATACATGTATTTTCTTTACCTTCTTTTCTTAGATAAGTCCCTTTAGCATTTCATAAAATGAGGGCTTGGTGATGATGAACTCCTTTAACTTGACCTTATCTGAGAAGTACTTTATCTGCCCTTCCATTCTAAATAAGAGCTTTGCTGGATAGAGCAATCTGGGATGTAGGTCCTTGTCTTTCATGACTTGGAATATTTCTTTCCAGTCCCTTCTTGCCTGTAAGGTCTCTTTTGAGAAATCTGCTGACAGTCTGATGGGAACACCTTTGTACGTTATGTCCCCTTATCTCTTGCTGCTTCTAGGATTCTCTCCTTCGTTTTTACCTTGGCTAATGTAATTATGATGTGCCTTGGTGTGTTTCTTCTTGGGTCCAACTTCTTTGGGGCTCTCTGAGCTTCCTGTATTTTTTGGAAGGCTATTTCTTTTGCCAGATTGGGGAAATTCTCCTTTATTATTTGTTCAAATACGTGCTCAATTTGTTGCTTTTCCCCTTCCCCTTCTGGTACCCCTATAATTCGGATGTTGGAATGTTTAAAGATGTTCTGGATGCTCTTAAGCTTCTCCTCATTTTTTTGAATTCTTATTTCATCATGCTTTCCTACTTGGTTGATTCTATCTTCCTGCTGGTCCACTGTATTGTTTTGAGACCCAGTTTCCTTCCCTTCACTATTGGCTCTCTTCCGTGTATCTTTCTGCATCTCTTTTATGGTATCCTGCATCTTTTCATCTAATTTGCTCCCAAAATCAACCAATTCCATGAGCTTTCTGATCACCATTGTTTTGAACTGTGCATCTGATAGGTTAGCTATTTCTTAGTCGCTCAAAAGGATGAGTTCTGGGGCACTGATTTGTTCTTCTATTTGAGCCAGTGCTCTGTCTTTTTTTTTTTTTGGTCTGGTCGCTCTTGTTACAGTGAGGGGCGGAGCCTTAGGTGTTCACTGGGGCTGGGCATTCCAGTCGCTAGATTGTGACGTTATATGTGGGGGCGGGGGCGGGAGTGGGGATGGGAAGAAACAATGGCGGTAGTTCCGTTCTCCTGGGATCTCAGTCCCTTCTCTGGGATCCTGGGCTGCGAGCTCTGCTCTGGTCCACAATCACTGCCTCACTGGGTCCACCAGCTGCAGCTTGGGTACTCAGTGACCACTGCTACATTCTTGCACGCCGGATGGCTTTTGCGCTGATTTCACGCCAAGTTTTCCCCATCCTCCGCGTGTAGCCGACCTGCAGCAGACCCGCACCCGCCCGGCTGGTCCTCTCCTACCAGTCTGGATGTATGAGTCTACTTCAACTTCTTGGCTGTCCGACTTCCATTCAGATAAATCCTCTATCAGTTCTGAGTGTTGTTCTAGCTGTAAATTGTTGTTGTTCTAATATTGGTTGTGCGAGGAGGTACGGTGCGTCCACCTATTCCTCCATCTTGCCGGAAGTCACATAAAAGCTTTTTAAAACCTATAGTTACCTGCATTTGCCATCGCTGATGATGCTCTTCGTATTTGTTTACATTTACTTTTCCATGTGATACCATTTTCCTTTTGCCTAAAAACTTCCTTTAATATTTCTTTTAGTGTTTTGTCTGAAGTGGTTAATTCACCTTTATTTTTGTTTAGAATTATGAGGTAACAGCTTTTCTTCTTTCACTTTTTAGTATTAATGTTCTATTTTCTTTTGGATTATATAGTGTCTGGTGGGAAGTCAGTTATCTCTGTTTTCTGTGATGTGCTTTGCTGTCATTTTCTTTACATTTATACTAAGGGTCTCTGAGTTTCTTGGTTATTTTAATCAATTTTAGATGAAAAATGTCTATTATATCTTCAATTTTTGTCTCATTCTGTCACTTTTTTCTTTCTGTTACCCCAGTTACATGTATGTTAGATTATTTGACATTGCCCTCCACCTGTTGGAAGGTGTGACTTTCTTTACACTTTTATCCTCTCTGTATTTTAGTTAGAATAGTTTCTATTGAGCTAGCTTTAAATTAGTTTATTGTTTTCTGCTCTGAATGCAGTCACTGTTATTGTGTTTTTTTTTTAATTTTTGTTTTTAGCACATTATAGGCCTGGCTAATGAATGTGGATTTCACTTATGCTTAGGGCTTCCAGGAATTCTAACTTCCTGAGCAGCTTACATTTTTCCTTTAGGAATTTGTTAAAATTTTAACTTTTTATTTTCTTTATTAATTTCATGGTGGGCTCCTTCTTAAATGTTCTACCAAAGGTGAAACAATCTGCGTGCCCTCTTTCCCCTGAGATAAGCTGTAGCCACTTGGATTTTACTATCCCTGGTTGTTTATTAATTTCAACTCCCTAATGGGTTAAAAAAAAAGTCTTTGCATGTCTTTGTGAAAGTGACATTGTCTTGCAACTTACACATGAGGTGGAAACACAAATCTCCTTTCTTACATTTTTATGCTTGTTTTATACTATAAAAATATTTCATAATCCCTTTCCACTTATTTTTTCTGAAAATATTGTTTTTATTATGATTCCTATTTTGTAGATGTGAAAATACATTTGAAAGCATTTACTATTGTAGAAATAAAGTGTAAAGTATACCTCTTATCTAAGTTCTATCTTTCCATTGTATTTTTCCTTTGATAATGAAATTTTGAGGTATGAGAATGGTGTAAATTATTCCTTTAATAATAGAATTTAGAGGTACAAGAACTGCATTCATAAACCTTCTATTTTCCCCTGTATTTATACTGAAGTGAACTCTGAAAGGCTACATTTTTATTTTATCTTGATCTCCAGGTCAGAAAACTGATTTCTACCTCTGGACTTCTTTAGAACTCTGGCTTTGCACGCATTTTTGATGTGTTCAATGTTTTGGGCACATTGAGCCTAGGTAGTTGCTGGGGACAGGATTTCATAGTACACTGGAGGTTTACAGGCCACCTTTGAACCAAAGCACATTAGCCTTCATTTTTACTTTATAGAGCTAGCACCTCAATTTGTTTTGTTGGCCTTATTTCAAGAACTGTTTTCATAGCCACACCTTTTGCTAACCTTGATACAATGTCTTTGCCATTCCATACCTCCAAAGTTTAAACCTTTCCCTCATTAAGATCACCCTTATTGGTTACATTAGGTACAGGATTCTAGCTGCTACATTCTAACAGTTTAAATCACTGACTTTATTAGTTTAAAAACATGGAAATGCTGGGACACCAGAAGCCACACTAGAAGATCAACAGCCATAAATAAATAAATAAATAAATCCATATCCTCAATTTTCTCTGTCTCTCCCTCCCTCTCTCATACACACATGCACACACAAACACACATGACCCTCTAGGAAAATATCACATGCCCCAAATGAGGTACTAATCTAATAATAACCTATGAACATATAGTGCTTCCAAACTTACAAATGTCTTTATAATTTAGAGAACTGCTACACCAATGTTCTCTTGCCACAACACTGCCCATAAATAACAGAGCAACTATTAATAACACCATTATACAGAAGAAAAAAAATCTGATGTTTAAAGAATAATATTTACCTGTCCCATTTGATGAACAAGGAATTTTGGTGGGTCTCTAGAAGTTGTGATCTTGCATTCTAGGAGCCTATATTCTGACAGTAGGGAAGACAAAGTTGAAATGCAAGTAAGTCCAGGATGGTCTCTACATTATTTGGTGAAGAAAACAAACCCCCTTCCCCACGATGTTTTGCTCTTATTTTACATCATTTGTATAGGGTTTCTTTTCCTAATGGATAACTGATATTCTGGAAAATTTTTCACCAATTATTGTATCAAGTATGTTTTTCTTTCATGTTGAGTCAGGAACTGTTTGTTTTGAGTTAAAGTTAGAGGACATTATGGGGGAGGACCCTGGATAATGAGAATATTTATTGATTATCTTCTATGAGACAGGTACTACATTATGTTTCCTTATAGCCATCATAATCAATATAATGCATAGCAAATTTATAATGTGACAGCACTATTATTAAGTCCTTACCTCTATATATTGACAGAAATTGTGATTTCTATGTTCATTTTATAGGAGAAACAATGAAAACTTAGCTAAAGTCAATATACTAGTGAATGGTAAGCCAAGATTTCAATCAGATTTTTCTGAACTTAAAGCTTATGTTTTTAACAACAACACACACTTTCTCCCTCCATCTAATCCTAGAAACATCTACAAGGTAGGCCTTATGCAAAATTAAATCATGGGGAAAATAGGTTTGAAATACATGTATAAATGTGAGAGCTAGGATCTGTGTGCATGAAAAATGACCCAAAACCTTTTTTGTAAGCCTTTCTCAGCACTGCTTTCCACTGTGCCATGCCAGTGACACTGAGGAGTCACCCTGACAATGCTGGGTGTCCTTGACATTTCTGGTAGGCGTTCAGACCATCAACTTCCATCATGGAGGAGAAGTAGTGTCTGAATTACGCATCCCTTAAATTCACCTCTATGAATTCACACTGCGAAGGATCTTCAGGCTTAACAAAATAAATAAAAGTAGACAAATATGCTATTGTAACTAAACTATAAACCCTCCAGCAAGTAGGAAATGTTACTAACAAGGCTATTAAATACGTTAGGCATCTAGTGAAACAAGGCTTTACCTTAAGTAAATATACCTGGTGCACATCAGCTATGCTATGGATGCCTAAAAATGTTAACAGTACATTTAAACATAGACAAGATATTGAAAGGATGGAGCTAATAATCCTACTCTATGCTGGTCAGGTTTTATCATATTTTAGAAGAGATACAGTCATACTAGAGTGTCTCAAAATGGGGGCCCAACATAGGGTGGGGTCTGGAAATCTATTAAGCCAAGGGTTATTTAGAGGTATGGGCATGTTTAATTTAGAGGGAAAATAATCTATTGGAAGTCCTAATAATTATCTTGGGTTATAAAACACAGGAAGAGTATTTAAATTCAATTAGAACAAAAGACAATTTATCAATTACATTTTTATTACATTTGATAACAGAATTCTTTTTTTTAAAGAACAGTTAATCTTCAGGTCAAAAGATACTTACAAAAAAAAATGGATCTGTCAGGGGTGCTGAAAAAAGGGTTGTTACATCAAGGGGAGGTTAGATTAGGGAATTAGTAAGGTCTTTCTAAGCTTTGTGATTCTATAAAAAACAAAAAAAGAAATGTAGATGTATACTTACCTTTGAATAGAGTAGTTTATTTAGATAATCTTCCATATATTGATCAAGGTTACTATCATAGGAAAGTTTTAAAATATAAATCAAATAGCCTACTGTAGCTGTCAAACATATTGAGCACATCAAAATAAGTTTTCATTTGATAATACTAGCTTTTGCCATATAGTCAATTTATATCTGGTTACCTAACTAAACCAATATACTGGTTGAATAAAACACAAAGATAATATGTGATATTATCATTGATCCTTCCTGCTTTAGAGTTAGTTCTCTTATCATACCATATTTACTCAAAAAGTTATAATATTTTCATTTCAATAACTGTATATAGATGTAGGCATGAATGTAAGTCCTGGGCATTAATATTCCCTTTTAAATTTCATTCATGTCTCTAACTTTTACCTCTATATGTTAAATAATAGTATTTAACCTGAACCATGGACAAACAGTTCTAGAGTTATACGCATTTTGCATTATAATTCTTTGTTTTGTCAAGCAAAAAAAAAAGTTTAAGCTTAGTTTTCTCTGTCTAATAATGAATTCAACTTGGGAAAGGAAATGGACTGACTTACACATGATTTGGATGGTCTTTTTAAACTTTTTTATTCTTTTACTGTTGTTCTATTACAGTTTTCCCTATTTTTCCTTAAAGTCTTAGAGTATTTTATTTCCTTAGAGTCCTTTGTATACCAGGCCCTGAGCAAGTTAAGGTATAAAATACAGAGTTTGTGAGGGATAGCCACTGGTATCCTCACGTAACTTAAGGTCTTACAGAGGACTAGATTAATTTGAAACATAATGATACTTTAATGTGATTAGTGCTATACAAATGGCATGAAAAATAGTGTTATGGAAGCATATTTTAAACATGATTTGAGAGATTTACTTTCTGTCATAACATTTACTTTCCAGGGTAACCAGAGAAGGGCTGACAGATCTCACCCCAACAGTAAGTGTGTACACACATGTGTTTTTAATAAGGAGGTATCTTACCATGCAGAGGTCAAGACTAGAAGAGGCCTTTAAGGTCCACATGACTACAATCATAAATGAACAAAAGTAACAATTTTTTTACTCATTTAAGATTCACATCCTCTTTCAGCTTTCATGGATGTAAAAATAACCCAAAGCTATAAATCAGAGTCTAGTCTTAAAATTTTCTTAACTACAATTATCAACATGAACTATTTCCTTGAATAGAAATCATGCATGCTTAGCCTTGATCTCCTATATTTCTTAGAATATAAAAAATACTGTTTCTTACTCTTCACATTGTACCTTTGTTTTAGCATTTGTACTGATCTTTCTCATTACCAAAAATAAACTCACTCATTATATCTGCGAGGCTACTTGAATTCATTGACCTCCAAAGTGACACAAAACTATATACCTCTCACTAACATGTATATGGTAGTCTTACATCTAATTATAAATGTGGAGATAGTAATATGAAGTGAAATGTAAAGCTAGAATTCAACTTGGCACAGAATTGACAAGTGAAAGAGTATGTAGGTGTGTAAGCAAAGCCATCCTCTCCCCAGGCTGTCCCGTAATATTTTCCCATTCCATCCAGTCCAGTCTCAGAAGCACTGGGGCACTATTCATCTTGTTTTCATGTTTTACTTGTGCTTAAAGTCTGTCAAAAAATAACAACAAAAATAGGTTAAGTTATTAGAAGAAAAATTCATTTTATTATTGACATAAAACAACCAATAAAGTAAAAATTACTCACAATGATAAACATTGAAGGTTATGCTTAAATTGAAGAGCATAGAATGTGAGTTTAAAGTTGAAAATCAGCACATTTTTTTTTATTATCACCCTGTCTGATTTAGGCCATCTTACAAAATTAGCTTTTATTTTCTCAAAAGCCTTGTTTTTCTTTTCTATATCAACATACCTTTATTGGGCCACAGAAAAAACTTAAATTCTCCAAATGTTTGTATCTCCTACAAGAAGAGATTTGCTTTTTAGGAATCCTGTGGACAGACCAGGTAGAGTTAAGCTAATACATGGAAACTGAAAATAAAAAGGTTGCTTGCTTTCTGGCATTTATTGTTCATAGCTTTTGGTACAAAGGGATGAGCATTTTTTCTTTTCTTCTCAGACTCTGCAGATACTCCTGACTCATAAAACTCTTACCTGGTTGGGTTTGGCTGCTGGAGCCATTCTTACTCCATTTCACGAACATTTCCAGATCACTTCTTTTTTTGTCCTCTCCACAACTGTCTGTCTTCAGTTTTAAGGTTTCTCAAATCACTGGTTGGTTACTTCACTATTTGCTTTGCCTATTTGACTTTTTAACTGCTGTTGGACTTTACTCTTTGGTGCATGGCTGCTGGCATCTGTTCTCTATTTTTAAGTTATCAGGGTGCAAGGTTCTGACTTCTTAAGCTCTATTTCAGTCCTATGGAACGTGTACTCATTGAAATTACTTTTCACTCATAATACTCCATCTTCAAGGGCTTAAAAATCATGGTTTTCCTTTACCAAGATGGAGAAAGTAGAGGGTAGGTGATTGGAAAAAGAAGTATCCATAGATTTGGTGTCAGAAACTTAATGTATTCACTAAATATTGAAATAAAATTATGAATTGAGTGATTAGAATTATGGGACTTCATTTAATTCTATTATTTATATTCAGAGACACAATTCTTATTTCCTATTGCATAGATTCTATTGAAAGAGAAACAAATTATGGTAATTTTCTTTTATAAGTTTGGTTGCATTCCAGGAACAAATCAAAACTTGAGCTAAATTCATATCTCTACAGACTTCACTGCTGTCTAGGGATATGCTTTTTAGATAAATTATGAAACAGCATTTTATCTTATTGTTTAAATTCCAATGATTAGTATGTGTTTTGGTAACATGATAACAACCACCTAAACTTGCCCAGAATTTAGATTCCAGTTTTGGGACACGTCCTTTTGATGTGCATTAACTACAATATAGCATCTTAATGTTTTCTAAGTAGACTAGATTCTCAAGGTGATATTTCTAAGTACTAATATTAAATGATAACCTTATGTTTAACATCCTTTATTCATCAGCCATCAACTATTACTTAGAATTTATTTATGGGGTCTATTCTCAAAGACTCCATAAATAATATCTCTTCTGTAAATCCTTTTCTAGTCTTTTCACTTATATTTGTTCTTTCTTTCTCTGGTATTTCATAAACAAGCACTTTTATTCTTTGTTATTCTTAAATTAAAACTTCTACTACATCTGATTCTTCTATTAGATTATAACACCTTTCACAAAAATTATAGTTGACATACAATATTATAGCAGTTTCAGGTATACACCCTAGTGATTACATAGCATGTAACTTACTGGTGATCATCCTGATAAATCTTGTACTGATCTGACACCACACATAGTTATTAGAATATTATTGACTATATTCCCTATTCTGTACTTTACATCTCCATGACTACTATGTACCAATTAATCTGTACTTCTTAATCCCTTCTCTTTTTTTCACCCATCCTTCCAACCCCTCTCCCATCTAGTGGCTGTCAAAATGTCCTCTGTATATATCAGCTCTTAAAAGCTGATTTCTGGTTTATTATCTTAACCTTAGTATAACATTTGATAAAAATCTATATTAACTGAATTATCTTATCTTCCTATTCCAGCTGTCCACTTGTTATACAATGAACCCTGAGCAGGTTACTGTACTAGATATATTCTTCTTAGTACACATACATATACACATACACATACACATACATACACATATCTTTGGGCAAATTTTCTGGAGAAGGTGGATACTAATACTGATCCTGTAGTGCTGCATAGATAACTAACTTTAATGATATATGTAAAGCAAATGTAAATGCTTACCATATATTCAATAATAGCATCAGGTGTTCACAACATTCAATTGAATTTTATAAAATAGATAATAATGTTTTGCAAGGTGGTTGCAATTATTATAATTTTTTTAGCTGAGGGTGTGAGACAAAGTAAAGTTACGTGCTAGGCTCCAAATTACAAATCCAGTACATTTCTGAGATTGTGTTGGACCTTGAGCAAATTGTTCTCCTAGTCTCAGATAATTTGCACATTGGAAAATGTGCAGGGAAATTAATGGTTGATTTTTCTCAGAAGTAACATTTGAAAATTAAAATAGGACTGGGCTGTAATGTTTATGAAGACATTTTGATGGAAGAGGTTTTGGAAGATGAGGTAGTTCTTAGGAGTCCCTTAAAATACAGCAGAAAACAGATCTACTATACTGTATGTCTGTGAATGTCTCCTGTCTCAGCAAAGAGATGGGCCATGCACGGATACAACTCTTTGAAAAAAAAGTGTTCTAACAAAAAATATGACAGGTTTAATATGGTAAATATTTCTCTGTGTCTGAAGCATAATGAAATATATATATATATATTTATATGAAGTATAATGAAACATATATGTATGTGTGTATATTTATATATATAGATAGTACTTGGGTGAAGTATTATGGAAGATAAAATCCAGATAGTAAATTGGCTTATTTAAATAGTATTTTTCTTAATTATGTTCCAGAACTAGGCTGAACAATAGAGGCATAAAGGGGCAAGACATGCCATTCCTGTGCTTGAGAAACTTGTTCTGGAAAAAACAGGCATATTATTATAAAAAGTGCAAAGGTCTCTGTTAGTTCAGTGGAAGCATGAAGGAAGCTGTCTAACTGCCTCTGGCTGGAGGGGTGGAGGACAGTTTCATGAAGTAGGAGATGTTGAGTTAAGATTTGAAAAGAGTGTAAAAATACTAAGTGATGGGAAAACACAATGTGCAAAAGCATTTATGGATTGAAGTTCATGTTCTAGAAGTATTATATTTGCTCCAAAATATACAATAGTTGTGGATGTAAACTCAATCTTGGAAATGGACAATTTTTTTAAAAAATCAATAAATAAGATGATTACCTTGTATTTAAGATAACTTTAATGTAGCTCTCCTACCAGGTTCAGAGTTAACTCACCTCATATTTATTATTAGAGCATTTTACCATGGACTTGAGTTTTTGAACCAACACATGAACTAGTTAATAATCACAACTTGCTTATTTTCAATGAGCTATTAAATATACTCCATTCTGAAGCAAGGAGATTAGAGAAGTATAAACTATATATAGTTGGAAAGACTAAAAACCTCAGTAAGTAGAACAGACATTTGCTTATTGGCATAGGTACACCGAAGGATGTCTTCTCCTCACATTGCCAACATGTCAGTATTTTTAACAGATGTTATTAGGACACCACAGCAATGCAGAGATGCATGTAAGCTGAGAGCATAATCACTATGAGGACTGAAGGCTGATGATTTGACTGTGTTGAAATTACTCCGGTGTCCCTCTAATTTGTCACATGACTTAATATTTAACTCTGTTATATGGTTTTAAAATCTGGGTTCTTGATGATTTCTTTTTCTTTTTCTTTTCATGAAATGGATGATGATTTGTAAACTGATTCTTCATGTTCCTAAACCACTGAGCATTTTAAAAATTAGTTTCCATGAAATAGACGTGGTTTCAAAGGAAGTCTTGGCTCAAATAGCTTCTGTTTGGGGACTTTGACTGCTAGGATATCCATTCAAAGAAAGATGGTGATTTCTAAATTATGCTATTTTTACTTTGATATACTCCCTGTACTCTATAGTTTTCTCCATGTTGCTTCCCAAGATCTCCTTCCTGTTTGCCTTGAAGATATGTTACCATTAGCAACTGCTATTACTGGTCATCCCTGTTCCATTAACTACCAAATCTTAGTGGAAAAGTGAAAAAATGTTGCAGTTATAATTGGTTAAGAAAATATTTTCTTAAATATTTAGCATTCTTTTTTAACATGTTGAGACATGAAAAGCAAGTAAGAATTAAGAAAATGATTTAGCATAAAATAAGTCAAAATGATTAACTTTATTTTTCTATTTTTTATTTTTTGAAGATTTTATCTATTTTTTAGAGAGAAGAAAAGGGAGAGAGAAAGAACGGGAGAGAAACACTGATGTGTGAGAGAAACACCAATTAGTTGCCTCTCCACACCTCCAAATGGGGACCTGACCCTCAACCCAGGCATGTACCCTGAGCAGAAATGAAACCAGCGCCTTTCAGTTTGCAGTGCGACACTCAACCCACTAGCCACACCAGCCAGGGCCAGAATGATTGACTTTAACAATATGGACAACATGTTGCCTTGGATTTTCATGTTGCTCTTTTGACTTAATTCACTTCATCTTCATGTACCCTTGAACAACAAACATTAACTGAATGCTTATTTGTTCTAGGCACTATGTGATTAAGAAATGACTAGAAAATCAGAAAAAAAATTCTGCTCTTGAGAAATTCACCAACTAAAGGGAGTCAGAAACATATATTAAAAGATAACTTTATCTAAGGCTACTAGAAGAATTTACATGATGCAATGTTAAATCTCTATCTTGGGGGTGGAAAAACAAAACTTCATTTTTATGCATTAGGGACACACACATTTTAGCAGAAACCTTCACTAGAGGATTTAAATATATTTGGACATGTTTGGTGGTTCAGCAAGAGGGACTCCTGGAATTTTTTTGCACAAGAAATCAGTTTTATGATTTCCTTTCACAGGAAAGAACTCTGAGTAGCAGAGCAGGTTGAAATACATTAAAATTCAGTTTATATCTCATTGGAAGAAAGTATTTTTCCATATCCCTTCTCTTGTGGATATGAGAGGGGTGAAGAAAAAAGGAAGATCTGAATCTAGCTTTTTGGTAGAGCTATACGTGCTTTATAATGCATAGCCCAAGGACACAGTCAACAATGTGATGAAGGCTTAGGGGGTGGGGCTGGGCAGGTGCTAGGTGGAGGGGGTAAAGAAGGGGAAAATGAGGGACATCTGTAATAGTGTCAACAACTATATATATATATTATATAATTGTATATACAAATATATATATATGCTGTACAGCATACGTGTAAGTCATGGTGGTGGTGAACATAGTAGACCAAGTGGGTAACACTGTCCAGAAAATGGGCCAGAATAAATGTAGGGGAAGATGTCATGCTTTGGCATTCATTGGCAAATCTGACAACAGCAGAGACATCATGTCATCTTCTACATAGGCAATTTTGGCCTTGGCACTGGAAGTGCTGGCTTCTTTGGTAATGCCTTTGTGGCTTATGATGATTTTAGCATTCTCAGCAGCTCACTTCTTCCCATTTATCTAGAGCAGTGAAGAAGAAAAATGGA